TGATAAAAAAGTATAATTACCTACTCACTTAATATTCCATATATAAAAAAAACACTTGTAGAAGTCTGATAAAAAAGTATAATTACCTATTCACTTAATATTCCATATAAAAAACACTTGTAGAAGACTGATAAAAAAGTATAATTACCTACTCACTTAATATTCCATATAAAAAAAACACTTGTAGAAGTCTGATAAAAAAGTATATTTACCTACTCACTTAATATTCCATATAAAAAACACTTGTAGAAGACTGATAAAAAAGTATAATTACCTACTCACTTAATATTCCATATAAAAAACACTTGTAGAAGTCTGATAAAAAAGTATAATTACTTTTTTGTTTTTATTTCAAATATCTATCCTTATTATTTAATTTAAAGACAACCTTTAACTGTTTCGTCCTTTTAATTTTGCCCCCCAGTTGCACAGCGGTATGTGTGCGGACCTACAACGCTAGAAACCGGGTTTCGATACCTGTGGTGGGCAGAGCACAGAGAGCCCATTGTATAGCTTTGTGAATAACTACAAATAAACTTTTAATTTTGAACTCTTTTGTTGTTGTTTGCTAAAATCTCTCATGCAGTTAGACAATGCCATCATAGGTCAGAAATAACAAAAAATCTGAAGCACAAAAATTAAATGTGCATGTACTCTGCAGCTTCCGTAGAATCGGGATGCAGCAACCTCCCTGGAATGTGCATCACATCAACAATGTAACGTTCTGATAATGTGTATGGCCTTTCATCCTAAAATAGTATATCAAAGTACGCTCAAAATTTTACATATGATCAATTACAAAAATAAATCAATGGAATATCTGCCAAATTTCACGTAGAACTTAAGCTAGAAACTTCCTATAAAATCAAAATCTATTAAAGACAAAAAGACTGATCTGCTAAAAGATAGAAATACACAGATGATAATAAACAAGCCCCATACAATACAACATACCTAGAAAAGCCAACCATTAAACATAAAGTAGCTGTTTATCGACATGAGAAGTAGAAAAATGTTATAAAACAGCAGTTTGAGTTTTGAATAAAAATATTATTACAAAAACTTGCACACATTAAAAAAATGACTTTTGTTAATTTTATTTGAATGTTTAATTACACACTTCAAAGAAGATAGTTCCAATACATATATGTATGTATGACAAATTCAATATTGAAATTTTATATTTAATGATTATTTCAACTTAAATTGAATACTCATAATAACATTTGTAACGAATTTGTTGTTATGTATTTATTTTAATATGAACGTTGTTTAGATTAAGTTTATATTTAAAAACATGCATAGTTTATAGTGTTAGATATGTATTGCGAAACTCTCGCCTATTCTCCAAAGTTGTAGAAGATTCTCGAGATTAGGAATCAACAATATATCTATAGACGGAAACGTTTAACTATAGATCAGTATTGTTATGTAATCTGAATTTTCCAGAAAACCTTCCCAAGCCTGTTAGTAGTTCGCTATAATCAGTGTGCTACAAACTTCGAAAGCTATAACTGTGATTTTTATAACGCTTATCAATCGGAAAACTTAAGATATTGGACCAGAAATATTTATAAATTTCGAACATTACAAATCGTTTAACTTCAGTGGATTCTCATTGGACATTATTATTTTTACGAAAACATAACCTAACTTCAATGGTGGAAAACCTAGCGTGTGTGGCCAAAGACAAAGCTAGCTAGCTTCCCGGCGAATCGTACTTACATCAACTTGTAATTAACTCGCTCATCGTTAACCCTCGATAAGATATCAAGGGAGTTCCAAGCTAAAAAAAAAAAGATTTTATATTGTTTGTAAGTTTGTGAAACTTTTGTTTATAAATCATTACTATTTGTAATAACTGTTATTGTAAATCATATTGTTGTGTGTATATTAAAACGTATTTGTGTTAAAAACGAAAACGGTGTGTATCAATCTTGTTGGCAAAAATCCTAAATTGACTAATATATCGGCATATATGTAAATACTAAATCCAAAGTACAATTTAAGTACTAAATTTAAATTATCGGTTAACTCAATTTCAGTCCATTTGAAATTCTAATACGTAACGCATTGTACCATAAGTTGTACAATAAAACAGTTTAAAGTTGGTGAAAACTTTATGAAATAGGCAGTGCAAAGTTTCATAAGCACATGTACCCCAAATTTTGCTTTTACCCATATTCTGCTGTTATATTTTACACTTTACTTAATCTTTTATGGTGGAGTACTCTCCAGTATCACACTATAACACATAGGTTTACCTTTTCCAAACAATCCACCTTGAATTACAAGCAGTCTTTACACATTGGTGGAAAAACTGTAATTTTCTAACAGTTTTAGATCTTCATTAAATAATACCATCTCTAATTACCACGTACTTGTTGACCGAGTCATCAAACCATTCTGAATTTTAATACACTTATAGCGTAACTCATAAAAAAAAAGAACATTCTGAATTTTAATACACTTATAATGTAACTCATAAAAAACATCAAATAAAAACATTTCAAAAATAATAAACAGGGTAGATATAGAAGTATCGCTAACTTAACGAATGAGTATTTTATCTATCAGATAGTACCAGGAGAATGAAATTTTAAATTTATAATTCTTTAGTTATTCATTAGCCCTTCGGCTCTTCTTGAAGTTTTTAAACCGGTATAACTTACAGAAGAAAAACATTAAATATTGATATATTATTTTTTATAATCTATTAACAATTCAACAGTTTTTAAAACTATTTACGCAGCTGACTCATTCACAAAAAACTTAAATACATCGACATAAATATTATTGATTTTGGTGTCTTTTTTGTGTGGGTGTGTGTGTGATAGATTAAGGAACTCCAAACAATAAAGTAGCATGTATAAGGTTTAAAATTTGTACTGCCATACCTTAATTTTTGAACTCAAATGCTTCAAGCAACGAAGAAGGAACAATAAAAAAAAAATCAGGTCGGATGTTGTCTTAACGAGCACGTGAGCACATCGTAACATCCACAATTATGACCCTGACAAACCTGTGGCTAAACATTTCAATAATAATGATCATAACTTCAGAAGGACAAAGGATGAATATGAACTCATCTATCGGCTTTGCACCATTCAGCCGACAGGAATAATGAAATATTTTCTTTTCTATAACTCTGCCTATATTGGTGTGTGTGTGTGCACGCGCGTATACACATATGCGAGCTCATAAAGATGTTTATGCACGAGCTCATTTTTATCTTTCCCTTTCACACACACATATTCTTCACCTTTATTTAATTAATAATTTGTGTATTTTATTTTTAGACTTCAGAGCAATTGTTATGTTTCGAACTTTAGAAACGTGACTTTGTTGCTCTGCTAGAATGCAAAATACCGAACTTACTTGTAAATATTATTGACATTTTTTCAAAGACGTTAAAATATAATTCGAACTTATTTTTGATTCTTATTCCTATTTGGACTCTTATTTAGATTTATAATGATATATATGTGTATATTATCCTACTGTAAAAAAAATTGTTTTGCCAGTGTTTCACGTGTATGCTATATTAAATCATGTTAACTTCGAACGTTTCATAATCCTCATGATACCAAACATTCTATTCCATTACAGCTTAAAAGCACTAGAGGAAGGGCGTTCCAGCCCCAAACGTTGTGAATATTAAAACATCTATTTCGCATTATGTTTTCTATTTCATCGTACCACAGCATTTTTAGCTGATTTTTCTTCTTGCATAATGAGGGGGTTTGCCTAGTGATATGGGGGTCTCTGGTTCGATTCCAAACCTTCTTCTCCAGTTTTTTTTTCTTTTTCAGAAATTAATAACCGTATTATTTTATATTGTATAAGTAAGCGTAGATCTTGGGTGATATGAACCCCTCCAATTTTTTAAGTACTTAATGTCCTTACACTATCATATTGTACCGAGGAAAAACAACATTAAATGTTAGTGCTTTTATTTGATTGGGCTACTAATTACCATAAAAAATAATTTTTGAGGTTTTCTGAAATCAACGTAATTGGAGTTTACAGTAATCCAGTTACGGCCGCACTCAATAGCTGATTGATTCTAAGCTAATAGAACAATATGAATACATATTTACGGAATGTTTGACTCATTTTAAGTTCACCATATAGTAGCATAAATTACTTTAGGTGTGTAAATAATATTATGGCATTGTTCATAATTTATTATTCGATATCATACATTGGAACAACTACTTAATGATTTACAGATTTATTTTCCTTTAACCAAAGGTAAAATTGAAAATGAAATCTGTGAGGTACAGGCCTAATAAATTCTTTGATTTGTCACTCCCTCTGCCGTGGACTGCACTTTCGCCAATTTAAGGATCTTCAGAGCTTGGGTTAACAAATACAGTTACACCTCTTATAATGGTTATGTGAAAGTAATATTTATGGAGTGGTTGAGTCTTTTTTTAACTCACCATGAGCTTTGAATAGGTGAGACTGCAGAGAGAGTGGCGAATCATAGGTATTAGGTCTCTAAGTCACAGATTCTACTTTCAATTTTACCGTTGGTGAAAATAAAATAAACCTGTAATATAATAGAACGCAAATTCAACGTTGCTACAATAAATTTTCGTGCCTAGCTTTTTTCCAGACACTCAAACTATGTGTCTAGACATTAGGTTTATTTTCATCAAAGTTAATATTGTTTAGACACCTGCAGGTCTTATAACATAGACATATTACAGAACCCATCTATGTAATTAAAAGAACTACCTGTGTCAGTCAGTCCGTGCGTATATGTGTGCCAGCTCATATGGAAACCCAATGTTCCTATTGGATAATTGTACAGTGCTACTTTTACGTTTATACGAGTGCAAAAGTGAAAAATGTTTAACGCGCGTTGTTCTACAGGAATGTCAATCTACAACGTTTAAAACATTAACTTTAAAGCAAACTACGTCACTAAAATAAACAAACACGCAAGGAAACACAATAAGTTAATTCTTTACCTTTCCGTGGCTGTTAAGTAACGCAATAACATTACATCTCAATACATATTCCAACAGGAGCCTAAAAAATCGATAATTAGGCCTAAAGCTTAAATACACTTCGTACACGAAGCACGAGTTTACCGCTATATAATATACGGCAATTTAATAATCACTGCCACAACTCCATACATTTTGAATGATCTACAGCTAATACATTATACAAATTAGATGTTTGAGATGATATACAAATGCTATTTAGACATATATGCACACAAGAAATCCACAAAAACCACATGACAACAGTTGATTTTTACACTTCTTGATGCCATAATTTTATAACTATTATACCTTTACAACTATTTCAATACAGGCGCCTAAAAATCGACAATTAGGCCTAATGTTTAAATACGCTTCGTACGCAAAGAACGACCGATAGGGGAATAAAATATTACACCATTTCCGTTACTGGTGGTAGTGGACCCATGCTTTATTAATGCTTTAAGATAGAGTAAAAAAAAAAAGCGTTGATACCATAATGGGAAGGGAAAGAAGTGAAATATCACCCCACAAAGAAAGTTGATCTTTATTTTTGATACCATAAATTTAAAAATACACTATTTATAACCTTGCTTTATCAAAAGCTTAATAAAAAAAATTCTCAAGATCTTAGTTAAATATGGCGATTATCCAAAAAGACAATATGTTTATACAAATAATGTTGTATACCGAGTTATATTTTTCGTTTAGAATCATTCCATATTTTTACACATCATTATTTTACATCTAAA